GAGGAGTACAATCTGCCACTTTGCCTGGCGTATGTGGAATATGAGAAAGCCTTTGATTCTGTCGAAATTTGGGCGGTGCTACAGTGCCTCTGTGCCAAGTTGACTGTCGGTATATCGAAGTGCTGAAGTGTTTGTACAGTAGGGCTACGATGGCTATCCAAGTACAGAACCAGAGCTCGATACCTATCCAACTGCAGAGAGGTGTAAGACAGGGTGACGTTATATCCCCGAAACTCTTCACTGCTGCATTGGAAGAGGTTTTCAAGCTACTGGACTGGAAAGGATACGGTATTAACTTCAATCGCGAGTACATCACTCACCTTCGATTTGCCGACGATATAGTCCTTATGGCAGAATCGCTGCAAGACTTCAGCACTATGCTCAATGACCTCAATAGTGCCTCTAAACTGATAGGTCTTAAGATAAACATGGACAAAACAAAGATCACGTTTAATGTCCATGTCACACCTATGCCGGTAGTTGTTGGGAGCACTATGCTCGAAGTTGTTGACCTGGGACAAATAGTCCGACTAGGTAAGCCCAACTTCGACCGAGAGGTCAATCGACGGATTCAACTCGACTGGGCAGCGTTTGGAAAATTACGACATATCTTCTCGTCAGGTATACCTCAATCCCTAAATACTAGATTGTACAACCAGTGCGTGTTGCCAATGATGACTTACGGAGTTGAGACGTGGACCTTCTCTGATGGCCGTATGAGGACGCTCAATGTCGCTCAGTGAGCTATGGAGAGGGCTATGCTCGGAGTTTCTCTGCATGATAGACTCAGAAATGAGGATATCCGCAGTAAAACCAGAGTGACCGACATAGCCCAACGGATTAGTAAGCTGAAGTGGCAATGTGCCGGCCATATAGCTCGAAGAACCGATAACCGATGGGGAAGAAAGGTTCTCGAGTGGCAGCCTCGTACCGGTAGGCGTAGTGTAGGGCGACCCCCACTAGATGGAGTGACGACCTGGTAAGATATGCAGGAAGTCGATGAATGCAGGTGGCTCAGAACCGTGCCTTGTGGCATTACTTGGGGGAGGCCTATGTTGAGCAGTGGACTTGCGAAGGGCTGTAATGATGATGTTGATGATAAGGACAAGTACCTGGATGACCGAGCTTTCCTCAGTATTTTTTTTTTGGAAATCGTATGTTTTGGAAACTATATTTAGATACAAATTACATACTGATGAAACATGAATAATATTTTTTGATCTTATTGACATAATAGAAAAAAATTAACTGGTTATTTGAATAAAATATCAATCATGAGTGCAATTCGTTTAAAAAATTAACTAATAAATTGACAATAGAGATTTTATGAAAATCACATAAATTAACTAGCTTACTAGCCCGCGACTATTGAAGTTATATGTACTATAGATTATACTTCAATGCACGCGACTTTGTTTTTTTGAATAAGGGTGACAAGCTAGCACAGAGTCCACCTGTAGGTTAATGGATGCTGTGGCCCATAGACATCTACATCTATCCTCCATTAGGAATAAAAATGCAGATGCGTTGTCACCTATTTTCGGTTTAAAATCAAAATGTAGATGCTTTGATTACTTTTTTGATGACTTCGATCGCGTTAACAAATGCCAATTCTAAAAATTCTTTTACAGCTACCCTATCTGTAATAATAAAAATATCTTATGATACATTACTTGGTATGTATTATAAAATCTTAAACTACTAATTGCCCATGAGAAAGGCAGTCTTTTCTCACGTCGATGTCCACCAGCGAGAAAGTTTGTTCCTGGAATTTGTTTATAGTGAGAGCAAACGATACTACAGGTAATTGAAACAGCTGAAGGTAGTCCAGTTTCAGGCCCAGTAAAGATGGTTATTAGTTCTTTTGTTGAATCTTGTACCGTTGCACGTTCTAGGTGGGTTTAAATTTCTCAATATTTTAATGGGGTTACCGAGTTTTTAATTCAGATCGTTTGATGGCAGACCTTTCGGATTTGAATTCAATAATTCTTGTGAAAAGTATGCACTTCGTTTATGGTAATAAATAAATATATAATACATAATAGAATATACAATACATATAATAGATATATAATTAAAACTTAACGTTTTTAATAGAATAAGGGTAAAAAACGAGCACACTGTCCACCTGATGGCAAGTGGGTGCTGTGACCCATAGACATCTACATTTATCTTCAATTAAGAATTGAAATGCAGATGCGTTGCCAGCCCTGAGGACTAAGATGGAATGCCTCGTTTCCAGTAAAAAGGGTATCCGGTTCTCTACACTCACCATACGAAACACAGCAGTATTAAGCTGCTATTTTACACTAATATTCTGTGAGAGCGTGGTGCTATCCCAGTCGAACCGACCCATTCGTGCCACAACCACAATATAGCAGCAGTATGGCTCTACCACGTAAAAATAGATACTAGTATCACGAATAGATACTACTACAATTATGTATGTAGTTACAATTATGTACTATCACCCATGATACCCATGATGAAAATACTATGACCCACGCCTATTATGAGATCGCATAATACGGAGAGCTCAAGTTATCACATAAAAACTTTATCATATTTCGGCGTGATAATCATCGCAGAAATTAAGTTAGACTAACGCCTGTTCAATGGTGAAAACCGCTGTAACAATCTTTGCTTTTGTACTTCTGATAATTCGTCCTCTTCTTCAATCATTCATTTTCTGTTTTTTGAGTTCGTGGTCTGCACTCTGCCGTTAGACTAATGTCCCTCACAATTTTAATTAATTACTTATTTTATTACTTGGAACTGTAATATTTCTCATCACACTTCCTATCATATCCTGTATTTTTATACTTCCCTTCTTAACTGTCATCATCTTGTGTTTTTATTTTAATTTTATATTTTAACATAATTTTGTAATTTATGTCTACCTCATTCTTAGTGAATATTCATCAGTCTTATGGCAAGTCTTGAAGTCAAGCGCCCAGTAAAATAAAAAAAATTCATACAAATTGTTATACCCCATCCTGTTTTATTATTCAAGGGGATATATTTTCCAAAATCATTTCTTATTGAATAAAACAAAAATTACGGATTTTATCGCGTTTATTTCACTACTTTTACTTATTTTTACTTATTTTTAATTCCCGACGTTTCGGGTGCTTTACAGCAACCATGGTTACGGGGGGGACTGAGATGTTTGACGTCCCAATGTCATAGTTAGTCCGGCTACCTTCAGTTTTTGAATATTAATTTTTGGTCCGATTTACGCAAAACGAGCTTATAGTATCATGAAGTCTTGCAGTGGTATGCTTAGGTTTGGGTTTAATTTTGTTAATTATAGGATCCCAAGCAGGTGGCAGCACCCATCCATCTTCTCTATTGAAATTTGGATGTTTTTTAATTTCAATAGCCTCGCGTATCATCCTTGGTAGGAATCGGTGTTCTTTTGCGAGAATTTGTGGTTTATCAAAACGAATGTAATGGTGGGGACGATCTTGAACATGATCGCAGACTGCAGACTTCCCGGAGCGTCGGTGCTTCACGTCAGCTATATGTTCTTTCACTCGGGTTTTTATGGATCTTTTTGTTTGACCTATGTAAGAGAGACCACATTCACAATCTAACTTGTACACTCCTGCATCTTGTAGAGGGATATTACACTTGACGGATAAAAAAAAATAAGTAAAAGTAGTGAAATAAACGCGATAAAATCCGTAAATTTTGTTTTATTCAATGTGTAGTGTTCGCGTAAATTTAAGAAATCATTGTCATTTCTTAGTCATAAAACTTATCACACGTCACAAACGGTAACTACTGTCCAAATTTCAGATTTATACGTCTTACTTTTTGGGCTGTGCGTACAATATTTTAATATAAACTGCACCCTTGTTTTAAAACCTAAAGAGTAAATTTTAGAATTAAAAAATAGTATAATATTTATTTATTCAAGAGCATTTAAATCAGTTTTTTGTTAAAAAAAAAACTTAATTACTTTTCTCCATACACATTTGAACAGCCTCTAACCCCTCGTAGCTGGTTGATTTAAAAATCGCAAAATATGTCTATCATTTATTTTATTTACAAAGTAGTTTCGGCCTATTTCAAGTTTTTAGGGGTTGAATTTAAAAAAAAATCTTTCTTAGTGGATACTTACGTCATAAAAGGCAGCTACTGTCCAAATTTTAGATTTTTACGTCAAGCGGGTTGACCTGTGCGTTGAGCGATAAAACAGTCACTCAGGACATCCTATTTTATATAATATAATAACTGATTACCGCTCGCTTCGCTGGGCGCACTATAATAGATGTTAATAACGTAGATATAAAATATCAAGAATTTTTTATGGAGCTATCGTAAAAGCCGTTCTTAGTAAGCGTCTACATTGTGAAATGAGTAAGAATACTCAATTTCAAGTCAATCGGGTATACTATATAGTTTTAGAGATATCGTGATGAGTCAGTCAGTCAAACGCTACGAGGAACTGTTTTCGTAAAGTTTGGATTTATTTTACCCTTTAATTAATTCAAGTTATTGGTACGCACATGCGCCATGGTACAATTTTTTTAACTATTTTAAATCTAAAATAAATTAAAATAATAAAAATTACTTTAAATATAAATTAATTTAAAATAATTGCAAAAAATTGTACCATGGCATACCTACGTACCAATAACTAGAATTAATTAAAGGGTAAAATAAATCCAAACTTTACGAAGACAGTTCCTCGTAGCGTAGCAATGGTTAATGCAAGAATTGATGTGAACCGATGAAATTAGAAATAATAGTAACAATAATAAAGCTTTTTATTTGTCTCAATTCACACATGCTATTAAAATAGTACAAAAATATCATCACTAACTTAGCTTAAAAACGTACTATAACAGAAAAGTAATGAGACAATCTGGCCTGTGGCTCTGTGGTAATTTTAGGTCACCGCTGGTATCCTGCCACAGCCGACAAAAAAAAAAACACAGTATCTTAACCTAATTTTGGCATTGACGTGAAACAAATACAACAACAATCAATCTTTACATTATGTTTTCGGCATCTTCAAAGGTGTCTGGAATTTTTCTACCCCTTGTTTCTGGTTGCGTAAGAATCAAAAGAGCTGCTATTGTTGACATTGCACCAAATAAAACAGACGGTATACCAGTCCAATACACCATAAGAGGAGGAGTGAGCGGTGCTAACACAGATCCAATTCTTCCTAACATCGAAGAGAATCCCAGAAATGAATGCCGATGTCTCGTTGGGTATAACTCAGTAGTATATAAATACAGAGATGTAAAAATCAAGCCCGTACAATACTTGCCTAGTAAATATAAAAATAGTGACAGACCGTAAAAACTTTTTGGAATAAACGCGAAAGCGAAGCAACATATTCCACAGACCATGTAACCTGAAAATAATGTTACTTTTCTACCCACTCTGTCTAAGATGAGGACTGCCGTCCAATAGCCGGGTATCTCTATGAGAGTTGTTAGTATATAATTAAGATAAATATTTCCTGATAGATTCACGGCGTTAATGGAAAGCCCATAGTATATGAATGTTGTTGTAATCCAATACACTGGTGTTGTGCAGCACCGTTGCAACATTACTCGTGATTTCAGAACACGATAGATGAGATTTCTATTCTGAATATTCTTTTCAGTCTTATTTTGTTTGGGTATGGCTGTCAGAAGAAAATTCAGAGACGATTCGGATATCTGTTTTCCATTTAACTTCGCTGCACGTTTTAAAGTCTCTGTCGCTATTTTAGTTTCATTTTTACTTAAGAGCCAACGATGGCTTTCTATTAGCAACCAGTAATAAGAAACAGTAATAAATACTGGTGCAAATAATATTAAAGTAAGGTTTCGCCATTCTAATTCAGCTGAAGCAATTAAGCCTAATAGCGCTTGTCCAAAAGCGAATGCAGATGACATTACTGCACTAATATAAATACGAAATCTGGAGCCAACAATTTCTGTGGCTAATATATAACCAGCGCTGTATAGTCCTCCTCCAATAGCGGTATGCAGAAATTGAAGTGTTACATACATTGTGTAGTTTATTGAAAAAGCTTTAACGCAACCAACAAGCGCAACATTGAAGCCAAAAATTACTACTGAAATACGTCTGCCTAAATAATCAGATATAACTCCAGCTAGTGGAAGTGCGATCATTGCGCCCATGCTGTTTAACGTTCCTGCAAGAGCTCTAAGCCATTCCTGGCACTCCAATCCGAAATCGTAAACTACGGTGTTTGTCCTCTCATAGATGTAACTCTCGCAACTTATAACAATATTTCTATTAAATAGCGATGCTGGGCATGTGCCATTTGGAAGGGAGTCTGGAAGGTAAGTTTTATTAGCATATCTAAAGCAATCATCGAACCCAGTTGAAGTTTCTGGGACGGCATTCAGAATCCACTCTGGTGCATATTCTTGTTCGAGATCGTCACATATTGGTACTGCACATCGATGCGGAAGTTTACCGGCTGTAAAGATGTAATCTCCTGCCACAAAACCCATAAATGTAGCTGGTAGCAACACGAGCAATATATTTCTCAATTGATATTTTCCAAATTCACCTAGTTGTTGATTTAGAACCTCTTCGAATTCCAGTTGTGTGTTATTATTACCTTTATCCATTTCTTTGTTATTAATTTATATGTGGTTAAAAATTTCTATTTATTTTCAACACTTCTGTTATGTAAAAAAACTTTGTTACTTATTGTTTAATTTTTCAAATTACTTAAAATAATTATGTTTTATTAGAATTACTTGATAGGCAATTTCAATGATTTCCAAGTCAGTTAATTGTGATTTGTGACTGAAAAATAGCTGAAAGAAAAAAAGTTATCGTATTATTTATTATTTTATTTTACTCAATTTAAAACTTTTTTACTAATTATACTGTAAAATATATATTCAGAAATAGCGTATTTGTTGAGACGGATAAAGTTCATATGGAGAAGAGTCATATATTTATAAGATTTAAGTGCTCACAAATTGTAGTAAAATGTACCAAATGGTAAAATATTATGACTAGTAACTGACTAGAAACTTAGTATAGCATCATTTGGCAGAGGAGCAAAATATCTAAGATAGTCGTAAGGTTATTATCTAAAATCTCGTAGTCATTAATATACTTTCAATCGATGACCTATATGGTAGCTACGGCCATATAGCTCGCAGAACCGACAACCGCGGAAAGCGGAAGAACGGTTTTTAAGTGGTAGCCTCGAGCCGATATATGAAGTGTAGCGTGCTTGATGAAGTGACGACCTGGAAGTCGGTAGATTCAGGATCGTGTTTTGTGGTATTCTTTTCCTATATTTAGCAGTTTATATCTAAAAGACTGTAATAATGATGATGGCGATAATGACAGCAGTTATACCTGACTGCCGAGTTGTTTATGTTAAATTTGAATTCGTATAATAAGGATTTAGAGGAATTCTTCTATTTTTCTGATATTAATTTCGCACAAGAGTAACATTAGAGTAAGTAACATCGTACTTGGGCATATGCAATAGACTATAGATTCTGTGCAGTTGATATTTTGTGAAAGTAGTTCAGACTAATTTTCCAATATTTAAAATCTGTTTAAACAGATATATTAGATACTTAATGTTTTCAATATTACTAATGTTTATTTGTATATGCATTATTTCTTAGTAACTTTATAAATCACAGACAATGCACTGCAGTAAGCATAATAAACTACTTTTATAATATTACACATAATGCAAATACAGAAAATTTTAAAACGCTAATATTATAATTTAGTTTTTATAAATAGTAAATCACACCTAAATACTTTTTTTTGGTATATAATTTTTCATTATTATAAGTTATATATAGGAATGCACGTATCAGGAAAATATTTAAGATTTAAGATCAATATTTAGAAATGACTTCGTCGTGAGTACTTCTGCACGTAGAACATCGTTTGAGCAACATGTTCTATTTTTAACTCTCAGAAATTTTTAATAGGTCATAACAATATAAATATGTATACAACATAGTAACAAGCAATTTCGGTATGCGTTCGATATTTTGGCACGATTTGACACGATGTGGTAGCTTTATAGTATGCCAGCGAACCGAATCCCCTCCAACATTGCTGAAGTTATTATTTGCAATTTTAAATGCTTAAACAAACAAATAATAATAATATGAAATTCATAAATAAAACCCATAACAAACACACTCATGAATAAACCGAAACCTACATATATCTCAACTGACAGATTCTCTGGTCCACTTATAGTTTTAGTATAAAAATTTTTTTACAAACATGCAAAAAAATCTTAAATTTCAACCACACACACGAACACATGCAAACGCATGCACACTCAAGCGCACTCATACATACTTGCCCAAACACACACGCACCCAGCCGCAAGCAAGCAAACACACACACACACACACACACACACACACACACACACACACACACACGCACACACACACACACACAAACAAACAAACACACACACACACACACACACACACACACACACACACACACACACACACACACACACACACACACACACACACACACACACACACACACACAACGCACACATGCACACACATACACACACGCACATGCACACACAGATTTTAAAATTGCTTTATTTACATAAAATTAGTAGCTGTCATTATATTAGGGAGATCGCTGACTCTCGTAATACAGGTTTTCTAGCCTAGCTCGGGAGTCAGGGTTTCAAAGATATTCTAACAACTTTTATGTCAATAAAGATTATTATTATTATTATTTTTGGGGTATCTATATAATTTTCTCATCTGGTTGGGTTCTATAAATATATAATTATAAATTAAAATGAAAAGATAAATACACTTAAATATCAATAAAATAATATAAATACAAAAAATACATAAATAAATAAGATCCAACCAGATGGAAGCCCTCGGCAGGGGAGACCAAACGGCCGAGGGTTAGGGTGAAAGGGAAAGAAACCGGCGGACGATGCGGGCTGTATGCCTGAGGAGCACCACCTTCTGCATTTGAGCCTGGAGCGGTCCGCCACGTAGTCCCAGCCGCCTCAGATGACCCGAGAGGCTGACTGGGATTAGCCCGTTTCCAGAGACGACTACAGGAATAATTTCGGTCGGCAGTCCACCCCACATGTCGGTCACCTCGTGAGCCAGGTCCAGGTATTTTGTATGCTTATCTGTTTCGGCTTTCACGAGGTTCTCGTCATACGGAATGGTAATGTCGACCAAAAATATGCTTGACTGTGCCCGGTCCATCAGCACAATATCAGGCTTATTCGCAAGAATAGTCCTGTCTGTGATGATGGCCCGGTCCCAATAGAGCCTGGCGCGGTCATTATCGACCACGGCTTCCGGCAAGTACTTGTAATACGGCAATTTCCGATCCACGAGACCGTATTCCAGAGCGAGCTCCTGGTGAAGAATTCTGGCTACTAGGTTGCGTCTGTGCAAGTACTCAGAGTTAGAAAGCGCCGAACAACCGGAGATGACATGCCTAAGTGACTCACCGGGATGACGACAAGCTCGACAGACGTCGACAGTGCCATCCTTTAGGATGTATCTCCGATAGTTGTTGGTCTTAATAACCTGATCCTGTATTGCACAGACAAAACCCTCGGTTTCCCCCGAAGAGGTCACCGAAACGTAGCCAGTTGAGGGAGGCGGCTGTATCTACGTGGGGCTCATGTAGAGCCCTGTAGTACCTCCCGTGGAGCTCCTTCTCCTTCCATACGGTCTCCCGGTCGGAAATGCTCTGTACTGCCGGGTCCTGCCACTGTTCGTTAGCTAAAGATAGAGGGGTAAGTCCTTTATCACTAGAAATGACGTCATTATAGAATGGATCATCCGATCTCGCCAGGAAGTAATGATGGAGGCTGCACACTTCGCAATAATGCATGGTGAGCGCGCTCAGGAAGTCACGCCCACCATGTTTTCGCGGCAAGTACAGCCTCATTACCGACGATCTCGGATAATGCATCCTACGGGACGTCATAGTAGTGCGGACTTTTCTATCCAGGGCGTTAAGTTCAGTCTGACTCCACCTGAGTATGCTAAAGCTATACATGAGGACAGGCATGACCCAGCCGTTATATGCGTGTGTCTTATTCACAGCGGACAAAAGGCTGTGAAGCACTTTGGTCAAGCGTGCATAAAACACGTCGCAAACTGACTGTTTCATACCAGCCTCATCGATACCCATGTTATTATTATTATTATTGTTGTAGGGAAAACATTTCTGTTTCTTAGCTTTTTGGCTAGTTCTGACTGCATACACGGGCCGAATATTATTATTATTATTGTTACTTATCAAAAGCCAAGGCCTCTTCTTGGTTACTTAGAAGCTTAATTTTTTTCAAGGTATAAAATTAGGCGCATACAAAACTTTAAAATCTGAAAACTAGAAATTATCGATAAAGTATGTCGAGAGATTGCCGACAAAGTTATTGGTAAAGTACTCCAAGTACTGTTCTCGAACTAACCGCATTATTAATTTTAAATAGTTAAGTGGTTAGTACATTTTAAATATGTTACATAATATTATGCCAAAAATAAATATGTCGAATATGTTACATATTACTATGCCAAAATAACGCTTAGTCTATAATTTCAAAAACAATACATTAGACTTGCAAATTGAATGTTCTGCATGCTTCCTGGTCGAATAGCCGAATATTAGGCAAAAGTATTCGGACGGGAAGTAAGTACTGCTTTTTATAAAGAGCATTTATTTTCGGAAGCTGGGATTGTCTACGAGAAGAAAATTAGTAAACTACTGCCTGAAAATGAAGAAAAATTAGTCTTTCTGCACCATATTATTCCACCTTAATTACGTTAATTGATTATGTACCTCTGACTACTTTAATGGTTGTAATCAAAATACATCACTATAAAAATTCATCAATACTTTTATTTTACCCATCTTCTGACTACAACTAAACATCTTACCTAAGTATTCGGTATTTTGCCGCATAGGATCCAGATATTCGGTATTCGGTGGAATAGGAAAAAAATAGCCGACTACCGAATAATACCTAAACATTTGTTGCAAGTTTACAACACATGCAAAAAGTAAATCGAAGCAAGAAATTATTATTAAATACCGATCTAAACTTCAAAGCTGGGGTCAATATCTAAAAGGTTGGTATTGATACTTTTTAGATATTTGCCTTTTTACGTAACTACTACGTTGGACTATGTACTATGTAGAATTATAAAAAATATATACATCGAATTTTTTATGATTTTAAATTTAAAACTCAATATGTTAAGCCAACAATATGAACCTTAAGCTTCCCTACCCAAATATTAAAACCATCTAGATCTTGAAGAAGTAGAATGGAGAAGGTCTGGTAATCTACGCATGTATGTGATCCGTTAGAGTATTAATCTAATTACTGATTTTTATCAATATAATATAAACTTAAATATTGCCTATATTATACGTCCAACTTGGCACGGCACTTCCCTAAATTTTTATAGGGTCTTGGAGCAATAAGTGCACGACACTGCCCATACGATGTCCTCGAAATACTTTATTTCTTAGACATGCAGGCTTCTTCACTTTGTTTTTATTTACCGCTGAGCAAGTAATAAACCAGCACATAAAATTTCAATCAAACAATTCG